ACGTAACGTGCTCCCCCTGCCCGACTGCAGTGGTTCTGGCTCCCCGCCCCCGTGGTCCGTATGACGCTCGCCATTGGTCGGAGCAGTAGCGGGGCGGGGCGAGGAGGCTATAATTAGAGGCGGCGCGGTAGGGGCCGCGTTCAGTCCATCGCTGGTGTGCTCGGGTTCTGCTGCTCCTGTGTTCTCCCGCTCTCCCCTTCCGCCTGTCGCCGCCCATCGAGCCGCCATGAACGGGCAACTGAACGGTTTCCACGAGGTGTTCATCGAGGAGGGCACCTTCCTCTTCACCTCCGAATCCGTGGGCGAGGGGCACCCAGGTGCGGGCCGAGCGGGGCTGGGCGGGGCGGCGATCGCGCAGGCGCGGCCGGGGGCGGGAGGGGGAGACGAGGAGGAGGAGGATGGTGAAGATGAAGATGAAGGAAGTGAGGATGAGGATGGAGGGGAATGAGGGTGGGCCGGGGGGGCGGGCGGGCGGTGACGCGGGCGGGCGCGCGCGCAGTGTGAGGCGGGCGCGCGCTCGCCGCATTGCGGGCCCGGCGCGCACGTGCGGCCCGCGTGGGGCGGGACACGGGGAGCGGGGGGGGAACCGGTGCCGCCGTGACTCAGCCGTGACTAAGCAGCTCCCGGTGCCCCCGCACCCCGCGGGACCCCCGCCCCCCCCCCCCCCCCGTGGGCTCCGTTCCCGCGTGGATGCCGGCGCTAAGACAGGCCCGGTGACCCCCACACATACACACACCCCACGGAGGGCCGGAGTGCCGCCCTCAGCTCACCCCGCGCCCCCCGACGCTGCCGCCGGTGTCGCCCGGCCGGTGATGAAGTCCCGTGGGTCTCCCCGGATGTGCCGTCCCGCCGCAGCGGTGCGGTGGTTGGAGCCCCCCAGGGTCGGTACCGGCCGCTGCCGGGCTCTCCCGGTCTTTGTCCTCGCCGTTCCGGGGCACATGACCGTTAATCTGCGGAGGCGGCTGCCAACGCCCAGTGCCCGCCGCCTCGGCACACCCAGAACCCCTAAATCCTCTCAGCTCCGGCCAGTCGGGCACCCAGAGCACGTTGAGCAGCCCCCGAGTTCCCATCATCTCCGGATCCCACTCGGGCCCCACAGCGCCCCACAGCTCTGCTCCTTCTGACTCGAACACCCACAACCCGATGGCACAACCTGTGCCTGCTCTGGGGCTCTCCCCACGCTGCCTGAGGGAGGAGGCTGGGAGATCCCATTCCTCCCTCTTTCCCACCAAAAAGCATCCGGGGCATCCTCCTCCCCTCACCCAGCTGGGCGCTGCCTTGTCCTCGCCCAGATCCTGCCTGGAAGGTCGCTGCCAAGGACACCCGCAGTCCCAGGAACACGGGTGGCCCTTGGGACGCCCCCACCCACACAAAACCCCCCGGGAGCAGGAGGGAGCTGGTGTCTGGTGGGGTATGGCTGGAGCAGCCTTGGCAGGAGGCAGAGCTGCTGGGAGCTGGCGTGCTGCGGATTTGGGAAGCTGGCACACAGGTCTGATCCCCTCAGTGGTGCCACAGGGCTCAGCCTTAGTTGGAACTGGAGCTTAACTGGGACATGCCTGGAATTCCAGGCTGGGGACAAGGCAAGGGCTGTGTGCACCCTGGGGGGCTCCTGGGTCATGGGGCTCTGATCCCCGTGCTGGAGGCTCCGGAAGGAAGGGCTGTGCTCTGTTGGGCTGTCCCACGCCACCATGACGCCTCCTGCTCTCCGTGTCCCCAGATAAAATCTGCGACCAGATCAGCGATGCTGTCCTGGATGCCCACCTCAAGCAGGACCCCGATGCCAAGGTGGCCTGTGGTGAGTAAGAGGCACCAGAGGACAGCCAGTGGGTGACGTGGAGGTGACAACACGCTGACGTCACCCTTGTCCCTGCAGAGACGGTGGCCAAAACCGGGATGATCCTGCTGGCGGGGGAGATCACCTCCCGGGCCAACGTGGACTACCAGAAGGTGGTCCGGGACACCATCCGGCACATCGGCTACGACGACTCCTCCAAAGGTGTGTCCCGGGCTGCCACAGCCCCAGCGACAGCGCAGGCTGGCACCGCGCTCACCAGAGCCCCCTTTGTCCCCCCAGGCTTTGACTACAAGACGTGCAACGTGCTGGTGGCCCTGGAGCAGCAGTCCCCGGACATCGCCCAGGGCGTGCACCTGGACCGCAGCGAGGAGGACATTGGTGCTGGTGACCAGGTGAGCCCCGGGGCCGTGGGCTCCCTGTGGGGGTGACTGAGGGCCGGGTGTGACCCCCTTGTCCCTGTGCCACAGGGGCTGATGTTTGGCTACGCCACGGACGAGACCGAGGAGTGCATGCCCCTGACCATTGTGCTGGCGCACAAGCTCAACGCCAAGCTGGCTGAGCTGCGCCGCAGCGGAGCCCTACCCTGGCTGCGCCCCGACTCCAAGACGCAGGTGAGGAGCTGGTGGCTCCACAGAGCCCTCGGCAGCCCCGTGTCCCCGCCTGGCCTCTGACTGGCGTGGTGTCCCCCACAGGTGACAGTGCAGTACATGCAGGACCGCGGGGCCGTGATCCCCATCCGGGTGCACACCATCGTCATCTCGGTGCAGCACGACGAGGACGTGTGCCTGGACGAGATGCGTGACGCCCTCAAGGAGAAGGTCATCAAGGCCGTGGTGCCACCCAAGTACCTGGATGATGACACCATCTACCACCTGCAGCCCAGCGGCCGCTTCGTCATCGGCGGGCCCCAGGTGCAGCCCGGGGCAGCGTGATGGTGGTGGCAGCAGTGACACTGTGCTGGTGGTGGTGGTGGCATGGTGATGCTGTGGTGCTGAGGGCTGGTGGCAGCATGGTGACAGTGCTGATGCAGTGATGGTGACACCCATGGTGGCACAGTGGTGGCAGTTACCGTGGTTCAGCGGTGGTGAGAGTGGCACAGAGGTGGTGTGGTTATGGTGGCAGCGGTAACGCCATAGAGGTCGCAGCACAGTGACGGTGGCGCTGGTGGCAGTGCAGACAGGGTGGTGACGCTGCTGTCTGTCCCCACCAGGGTGACGCGGGGCTCACGGGCCGCAAGATCATCGTGGACACGTACGGGGGCTGGGGCGCGCACGGCGGCGGCGCCTTCTCGGGCAAGGACTACACCAAGGTGGATCGCTCGGCCGCCTACGCCGCGCGCTGGGTGGCCAAGTCCCTGGTGAAGGCCGGGCTGTGCCGCAGGGTGCTGGTCCAGGTGGGTGCTGGCTCCGGGTGGGTGCCGATCCTCCCTCTGGGGCTCCTGGGCTCCGGCCTCACCCGCAGCCCCGTTCCCCCGCAGGTGTCCTACGCCATCGGGGTCTCGCACCCCTTGTCCATCTCCATCTTCCACTACGGCACCTCGCAGAAGAGCGAGCGCGAGCTGCTCGAGATCGTCAAGAAGAACTTCGACCTGCGCCCCGGGGTCATCGTCAGGTAACGGGCGCGGGGGGCTGTGCCGGGGGGCGGGGCGGGCGGGGGTCCCTCCCGGAGCAGCCCGGGGACCGCCTGGCGCCTGGACCCGGCGCGGAGCCGCTCGGCCGGACGGAGAAGGCGCGCTCGGGGCGCGGACGGGGTAAGTATCCGCCGGAGCCGAGCGCTTGGAGCTTCCCCGGCTCCTGCCCGGGGGCGCGGCCCGGGAAGCTCCAACCGCCCCGCGGGGTGGGGAGGGGGCGGAGGCGCCGCTGCGGAACCCCCGGCCAGGCAGGGAAGGAAGGGGCGAAGGCAGGAGCCCGGGGCAGCCTCACTGAGTCGGGAATTGTGTATTCCAGGGATCTGGATCTGAAGAAGCCCCTCTATCAGAGGACCGCAGCCTATGGCCACTTTGGTAGGGACAGTTTCCCTTGGGAAGTGCCCAAAAAACTAAAATACTGAGAAAAGAGCATTGTTAGGGCTTTTCCCCCCACTCCCGCGGGCGTAGGTTACAGAGAAGCCCGTGGGCTCTGGGGGAAAGAGCTCCCGGCCCCCCCCCAGGCTCCCCGGCCCCCCCATTGTCTCTCACCATCGTTTTGGTTGTGTGGGGACCACGTGCCTCTCCTGGAGTCCCCCCTCGTGTCCCCCCAGTTCCCTCTGGATGGTTTTTAACGAATCTCTCTTCACTCCGAGCTGTGAGATGGGGAAAAAGGCCCAAGTGCCCTCTCTCACCCTCCCCGTGCCCCCACAGTCCCTCTGTGGCAAGGGCCCCCCCAATCTGGGTCCCAGCAGTCCTGCTGTGGGGGGATACTCCATTTTATCACTCCCCTTTTTCCCCAAATTCCACTACATCAGGGGGACCCCCATCCTGCTGCAGCGGGGGACACACAACCCCCCCGTTCTGGCTCCCTGTGTGTCCCCCCACAGTCCCCATTCCACTGGGAGGATTCTCATTTTGGCTCCCCCAGTCCCGCTGGTGGGGAAGACACTTCCCATTCCACCTCCCCACCCCCCGGGACCTCGCTGGTGCTGGGTTTGGTTCTTAACCCTCATTTTTAACCTCTTTTTGTTCCAAAAATGCACATTTTGGGGGGGGGGGACACGCTAAAACCGACCCCCAACCCCCCCCCCCCCCGAGGGTTCGGTACCAGAGGAAAACATTTTATCGTTTTTTTTGGTTTTTTTTTTTTTGGGGTTTTAATCCAAAAGCTGAAGCAACTCCCCAACTGCACAACCCCCCAACCCCCCAACTGTGTCCGGATTTTGGGGGGCAAGGGGAGGCATTTGGCGCTTGATACTTGAAGGTTTGGTGTATTTATTGTGCGCCGAGGCGGGGGCGTGAGTACAGAGAAGCCCCCGCGCTCAGCCGGCAGCTCCTGATCCCCGACGAAAGCCCCCCCTTCCCCTCCCCCGCCCTCCCCCCAGCCCCCCAGCGCTTTGGGGTGAAACGGGGCGGGATTGGGTTTGTTGGAGCGCCGGGGGTGCCCGGGCGCGGCGCTGGTGGCCGGTGTGGTACAGAGAAGCCGGCTTGTTTACTGCCCGCCCGGGCTCCGGCCCCCAGAGTGCCTTGGGGGGGGGCATGGGGGGCTTTCCCTGCCCTTGAGGATAGAGGGTTTGGTTTTTTTTTTTTTTCTTGGTTTTACTATTTTCGGGAGGTTTCGTCCGAATGTTTTGATCCACTGAATCCAAAAATGAACTCAAAAAGAAAAAGAATCTCAATAAAAGCGATGGGTTAGACGGAGCCACCTTGAGTGTGTGGGGGGAACACAGGGGCAGCTGAGGGATTTTGGGAACTGAAGCACTGGGGATAGAGAAATTGGGGTGCAAGGGAAAGTGGGATTTGGGGGAGGAGATGGGGACAAAGCGTGTGTGGGGGAACAGGGGTGGGGGAAGCGGAGTACAAGGCAGGAATGAGCATTGGGGCAACGGGTACGGGGGGAAATTGGGGTTTGGGGAGATAATGGGAATGGGGAAACAGGTATGGGGGAATTGGGGTTCAGGGGAGATGGGATGGAGGAACCAGGAAGGGAATGTGGCTGAGGGATGGAGGGAATGGGGCACAGTGGGGAACGCACAGGGAAGGAGGGGTAGATATGGGGAGAATCCGGGGCACCGGGGGGAAACTGAGGCACGGGAGGATTTCTGGCTTACAAAACTGCATTTATTGGGGGTGTTCAGAGCTCTGGGCCCCTCGGGGCTCCCCCGTCGCCCTCGGGCCGAGCCTCCTCCTCCTCCCCGCGCCAGGTGGCGAAGGCCACCTCCTGTGCCAGGCGCTCCGGGGCCGGGCGGCCCAGCGCCAGGTTCCGCAGGGCAATCAGCGTCATCAGGGCACTGCGGGGACAGCCGTGGGCACTGGGGGGACACGGGGGACGCCATGGGGACACGAGGGGACGGGGGCTCTGGGACTGACCTGCGGCGGAAGAGGAAGAACTTCCTGCGGAGGAAGCGGCGCAGGCGCTGGGCCAGGCCGGCCTCGCGCTCCTTGCGCTGCTGGCGCTGCTCCCGCCGCAGGAACAGCGACACCAGCGGGTCCAGGGGCGCCCCCGCGGGCAGGGGCTCCCCCAGCAGCGGCCGCAGCTCGGGGGGCAGCGGGGCCTGCTCTGGGGGCAGAGGGGAGGGACTGTGATCCCCCCAGCTCGGTGCTGGCGATTCTGGGGGTCCCCGTGATCCCCCCCCCGTCTGGTGATGGGAACTGGGGGTGATCTCCCCACCCCAGTGACAGGGACTGGCTGTCCCTGGCATCCTCCCGTGCTATTGCTCTCCAGAGAATGAGGTGACTGGAATTTGGGGTCCCTGCTCTCCCCCCAGCGTCAGTGACTGGGGTCTTCCATGATCCCATCAGTCACCAGGGGCTGAGCTGACGGAGCTTTTGGGCTCCCCCAGTGCTACCCAGGGCGTGATGCAATGGGGATTTTGGGGTCCCGGGAAAGAAGGCCTCAAGGATTTTGAGGTTCCCAGGTGTGAGGTGCCAGGGGCGCCCAGGGCTGGGTGTCTGGGGGTCTCGGGGGCACCCAGGGCTGGGTGTTTGGGGGTCTCGGGGGCGCCCAGGGCTGGGTGTTTGGGGGTCTCGGGGGCACCCAGGGCTGGGTGTTTGGGGGTCTCACCGGTGCCCAGGGCTGGGTGTTTGGGGGTCTCACCGGTGCCGTTGCGCACGCGCTCCCGCAGCTCCTGCAGCCGCGTCAGGTTCTGCTCCAGCTCCAGCGCCGTGGTGTTCACGTACAGGTACATGTAGCACGAGGGCTCGGGGGACACCGTGTGCACCTTGTGGTACTGCCCTGCTGGCAGCTGGGGGAACAGGATGTCAGCACCCCTGGGCACCCCAAAACCCACCCGGAGAACCCCCAGCCTCACCTGCATCCCCTGCCCCTCGTGCAGGGAGTGGTTCTGCTGCTGCTCCACCAGCTCCACCAGCACCTGCCCCTTCAGCACCCGCAGGCTCGTGTTCCCCAGGTCCTCGCTCACAAAGTTCTCCAGGTGCAGGCCTGGAACGCAGCTGCCTCTGTACCCCCTGTACCCCAAACCTCCAGGACCCCCCCGTTGTGCCCCCACATCCCTCTGAGCCTCAGGTACCCCCATGTCCTCCACCCCACCCACGGACTGCAGGGACCCCCCTGTACCCCAAACCCCCCAACCTCAGGACTGGTACCCAGCCCCTGAAGCCCCGTGCCCTCCATGCCCCCCCGGGCCGCACCGGGGAAGTCGGCGATGAACACGGTGTCCGTGTGTCCGTCCAGCTGCGCCTCCAGCTCCTGCAGCCGCTGGCGCCACGGCGACAGATCCACGAGCAGCGGCAGCAGCCACGGCGTGGGGGTCCACGGGGACCAGGGGGCGCGCACCAGGTCCACACGGGGGTCCACAAGCCTGGGGGGACAGGGGCTCAAAACCTGCAGTGCCCCCAAATCCCTCGTGTGCCCCCAAACCACTGCTGAAGTGACAGTGCTGATGGCACAGGGGACCATAACAGCACATGGGGCCCACGACAGCTGTGGGGACAGGCCACCCCCTTGTGGCACCCCCACGTGTCCCTGTGTTCCCCCAAACCCTGTGCCCTCCCTAACGTCAGCTGAAAGCAGCAGCAGCAGCACCCACAGCTCCCAGACCAGAGCCACCCACAGGTCCCCCATGGCCCTGTCCCCTATGGCTCCTGTCCCCCATGTCCCCCCTGTCCCCCGTGTGCCACCTCTGCTGGAAGCGCTCATTGATGGACACCCAGACGTCGAAGTAGATCTGGGGCTGGCTGATGTTGTAGCGCGGCAGCAGCCGGCTCAGGCAGGCCGAGTACTGCTTCAGCATGTCAGCGTGGTCCCGCCAGCGCCGGCTCTGCGTGAACGCCTGGGGAACGGGAGGGAAACTGAGGCACAGGGACACTAAGGGACAGGGCAGCGCCGCGGGGAAACTGAGGCACGGGGCAGTGGCAAGGAAAAACTGAGGCATAGGGGAATGAGGGATGGGGGAAATGAGGGATAGGAGAAAACGAGGCTCAGGGGCTGTTCCATGAGTGATGGGGAAACGTGAGGAGAAACAGAGGAAAAGGGGAAAACGAGGGATGAAGGAAACTGAGGTCCACGGGGGAAGTGCCCGCATTTGGGAGCTCTGGGGGTCACTCACCCCTGGTTTGAGGTAGCCCACCTCCCCGGTGAGCCCGTCCCTGTAGGTGATCTTGACGTGCTGGTGGAAGCGGGAGTGCACCATCATGTCCCACGAGTAGCCGTAGAGCCCGTTGGTCCAGTTGTTGTAGCCCTGGGGGGACATGGGGGGTCACAGAGCACAAGGCTGTCCCCACCCCAGGGGGACAAGGAGGTGACAGGGCCCCCACACCCACCACCATACCCTAAATGCCCCTCCATCTCCCAAACTGCCCCCCAAATGCCCCAGTCCACCCCTGTGCCTCCCAAACTCCTCCTCACCCTCCAGAGGTGTCCCCAGAGCACCTCCCCAGTCCCTCCCGTGCCCACCTGGGTGATGAAGTGCGAGTAGGGCAGGAAGAGCTGCTCCAGCACGTAGAGGATGGTGAAGGCTGCGGCCAGGTGCTGGCGAGGCCGAAGGCCCCCCCGGGCTCTCCTGCCCCCGTAGTGGCAGTCGGGGCTGGGCTGGGGGGGCTCCGTGCTGGGCAGCCAGGCCTGCAGCCGGGGGGGGCAGCGGGCCACGAGCCCCCGGGGCCACTCGGGCCGGCAGAAGAGCCCGTTGGTGGCCAGCATGGTGTAGGAGAACATGCCTGGGGAGGACAGTTAGGGACCGGGGCTGGGGGCGCCCCTGGCTGGGACTGGGGATGTCCCTGCAAAGAGCCAGGGTGATTTGGGGTGTCCGGGCACCCCTGTTTAGCACTGGGGGGGTTGGGGGCTGTGGAGGGGGGAGATCAGCCTGGCTGGGGGTGCCCTGGGCACACTGGGGGGGTCTGGGGGCTGTGGAGGGGGGAGATCAGCCTGGCTGGGGGTGCCCGTGGGTGCCATGTCCAGGCTGGGGGTGCCCTGGGCACACTGGGGGGGTCTGGGGGTGCCTTTTCCCCGCTCACCGATGCTGAAGAGCTGGGAGTTCATGCAGTGGAAGTAGGTGACGAAGACGAGGGCCAGGGGCCGCGTGGCGTCGAAGAAGAGCAGGAAGCCGGCGGAGAGGTCGAGCACCAGCCCGCCCCCGTGCACCACCAGGCGGCTGGTGAGCTCCTCCGACAGCACCAGCCTGGCCACGGAGCCTTCCTCGGCATCGGCCCGGCCCAGCGCCGCCCGCAGCCCACCCTGCCCCGCCCAGCCCATCCCATCGCCGCCCTCACCTTCCTCCTGCTGTGCGTCACGCTCCTCATCCTCAACCCAAACCCATCCCCCTGGAGCCCTCCTCATCCCATCCCCAGCCCAGCAGCCCTTCTCCCTTCCCCATCATCAGCATCATCATCATTATCATCATCATCATTATCAAACCTCCTTAACCTCATCCTCCAACCCATAACCCTCCCAAACCTATCCCATTGATCCCATCCCATCCTATCCCACTGATCCCAATCCCATCCCATCGATCCCATCCCATCGATCCTATCCCATTGATCCCAGTCCCATCCCATTGATCCCATCCCAGCCCCACCTTCATCCTCATCCCCTCCCCATCCTCACCTTTGGACCCCTCAATCCGCTGCACCCTCATCGACCCCCTTCACCCTCCTCATCCTCACCCCTGGCCCCCTCCCCTCCCCTGCCCTGCCCTGGCCTGACCTGAAGGGTGCAAAGAGCCAGTGTCGGGCCAGGGTCCCCATGGAGAAGCCCCCGACCCAGTCAGCATCCAGCTTCTTGAGCCCCGCGATGAAGTACACGATGAACACCTGGGGGGGCATGGTCAGGGGGTCCCGGGGGGGTCCCGTGGGGGTCCCGGGGGTCTCTCAGGGCAGGGACACCCACCTGGGCACGCAGCAGGGCGTAGTTCCACAGCGGCACGTGGGCGTTGCGCTTGCGGGGCCGGAACAGCCCGTCCACGGAGCTGGGGGACACGGGGGACATTGTCACCGTCCCCAGCGCGCCACCATTGCCACAGCCCTGGGGACACGCTGGGGACAGAGAGCCAGGCCTGGCAGCAGGACCTGTCCCACCAGGCGGGTGCACAGTGCCACAGGGATGGCCCCTGGGGACACGGCGCCATGGGGACCCATGCCACCCCCTGAGCACCCAGCGCCACGGGGACCTTGGGGTCTGGGCCGCCCCACTGGGACCGTGGTGGCGCAAGGGACCCCACACGCTCTGCCACCCCATGGGAACCCCAGCCCCATGTCACCCCCCTGCTGCTCCTGGGATCCCCCGTGTCCCCACAGCCCCGGTGCCCACCCGTAGCGGTCAGCGCCCATCAGTGCCAGCTGGAAGCCCAGCAGCCCGTAGAGGTAGGAGTGGTTGTTCCAGGAGGTTTTGTCCAGCAGCAGCAGGTACCAGTAGGGGCACAGGAACGCCACGCAGCTCAGCCGGTAGCAGCAGCCCAGCATGATGCCCAGAGCCCCTGTGGGCACAGGGCCCCCGGTGTGTCCCCTGTCCCCTCCTGCCGCCTGTGCCCAGCCTCCCTCTGCTCCCCTGCCCGTCCAGTGCCCACCCCAGTGCCCGTCCCAGTGCCAGCCCTTGCCATGGTTCCTGCCCACATCTCAGCCCCGTTCCTGCCCCAGTGCCATCCCCGTTCCTGCCCTAGTACCAACCACCCTGATCCTATCCCCATCCCACCCCTCTTCCTGTCCCCATACCACCCCCGTTCCTGCCGCCGTTCCCACCCCCGTTCCTCCCATCCCGTTCCCCCCCGTTCCCCCGGTTTCCCCCGTGCCCGTACCCAGGAACATGATGGTGTAGAGCAGGTACATCCAGTCCAGGGGCAGCGGCGCCAGGAAGGGCAGCAGGGGGAAGCGGCAAACCTCCAGCCCGTCCAGGTACCGCTGGTCCAGGTGGCCCAGCCCGCGCTCCTGCGGCACGTCCAGGGCCATCAGCAGCCCTGGGGGCACGGGGGGCACTGGTCAGTGGTCACTCGGGCAGTGGTCACTCGGTCACTGACCGCTCCTCTCGCCCGGGCCATGGCCGGACCTTTGCTCCGATGCTGACGTGTCACGGCCGGACACCGCCGGCCCCCGGGGATGGGGGACCCCCGGATCGCGGCCCCTCTCCCCATCCCCCGAGCCCCCCAAGGTCCCGGTGCTCCCGAGTCCCCCCGGATTCCCGGTGCCCCCGGACCCCCAGCCTCCCTGTGCCCCCCGAGTCCCCGCGGAGCCCTCCGGAGCTCCCCCATCCCTCCCGGGCCCTCCCGGTCTCCTCGAGCCCCTGCTCACTCCGTTCCCCCGGTGTCCCCCGGTGCCTCCCGGTGTCTCCCCGTGCGCGGTCCCCCTGTCCCGGTGCCCCTCAGAGCCCCTCGGTCCCCCATCCCCCGGTGTCCCCCGTGCCCTCCCGGTCCGTCCCAGCCCCGGTTCCCCGAGCCCCCCCGGTGCCGGTCCCCGCTGACCGAAGGCGGCGCGGAAAGCGCCGAGCGCGGCGGGGTCCTGCGGCCGGTGCAGCAGCCGCACGAAGCGGTGCCAGCGCGTCAGCTCCCGCAGCTCGAACCCCAGCAGCCGCCGCGCCAGCCCGGGCCCGGTGCCGGTACCGGGGGCCTTGGGGGTCCCGGTGGGGCTCGGGGGGGGCTCCGCCGCCTCCCCCCGCTCCGGCCGCCGCCGCCGCGCCGCGCCTGCCGGGGGGGTCACAGGTCAGGGGTCACCGGTCGGGGGTCGTGGGGGTCCCGGGGGTCCCGCGCCCCCCGCCCCGCTCCGCACCCGCCGCCGCCGCCATCGCCGCGACCCCGCCCCGCCCGCTGCACGTGACGGCCGCGGCCACCAATCAGCTGCGAGGAGGGCGGGGCAAGAGAGCCACACCCCGTCAAGCCCCGCCCATTCTCCCTCGTTAAGCCCCACCCCCGGGACCCCCGGGACCGGAACCGGGACCCGAACCAGGACCCCCGGGCCCGCTCCAAACTCCCCGGACCCGCCGGGACCCCCGCCCTGACCCCGCCCTGACCCCGCCGCGCCCCCGGCCCGCCCCGGGCCCGCCCCCGGCGCTGCCGCCGCTCCCGGAAGCCCCGGGCGGGCGGGGCGGGTCCGGGGCCGCCGCGGGAGCGGAGCCGAGAGGGGCCGGACGGACCATGGTGGGGACGGGGCACCGGGGGCACGGGGGCGGCACTGGGGGGCACCGGGCGGCACCGGGGAATGGGCACGGGGGGCACCGGAGGGGGGTACAGGGGTCCCTGGGATGTGCGGGGGCTCCGGGGTGTGCGTGGCGGAGCAGCCGGGGTGGCACCGGGGTCTGTGGGGTGTTTGTGGGGGGGTCCTGGGTACACGTGGGGTCCCGGGGGTGCCCCCTGAGCCCTGCCCGGTGTCACAGCCGGGGGTCCCGGGGATGTCCCTGAGCCCTGCCCCGTGTCACAGCCGGGGGTCCCGGGGGTCCCGGGGATGTCCCTGAGCCCTGCCCTGTTCCACAGGCGGGGGTCCCGGGGGTCCCGGGAATGTCCCTGAGCCCTGCCCGGTGTCACAGCCGGGGGTCCCGGGGATGTCCCTGAGCCCTGCCCCGTGTCACAGGCGGGGGTCCCGGGGATCCCGGGAATGTCCCTGAGCCCTGCCCGGTGTCACAGCCGGGGGTCCCGGGGGTCCCGGGGATGTCCCTGAGCCCTGCCCTGTTCCACAGGCGGGGGTCCCGGGGGGTTCCCCCGTGGCAGATGGCGCGGGGGGCTCGGGGCGCGTGCGGGCGCTGCAGCAGGAGGTGCAGGGGGTCACCACCATCATGAGCCAGAACCTGGAGAGGATCCTGGCCCGGGGGGAGAACCTGGAGCAGCTGCACAGCAAGAGCCAGGACCTGGAAGCCACGGTGAGGGGAGCACGGGGGGCGTGAGGGGGGCATGGGGTACCTGCATTGGGCACAGGGTCACCAGGGTGGGCAGGATTGTCCCCAGAGTGGCAGGGCTGTCCTCAGGACCTCATCCAATGTCCCTGGGGTGGCAGCTGGGGTGCCCAGGTGACAGAGGTGTCCCCAGGGGCTAAGGGCTGTCCCTTGCATGGCATTTGGGTTCTCCAGGGTGTCAGGGCTGTCCCCAGGGCTGTCCCCAGTCCCTGAGCACTGTCCCTGCAGTCGGAACACTTCCGCACCACGTCGCAGAAGATGGCCCGGCGCTACTGGTGGAAGAACGTGAAGCTGCTCATCATCCTCGGCCTCGTGGGCGTCATCATCCTCATCCTCATCATCCTCCTGGCCACTGGCACCATCCCCACCTAGAGCCACCGTCCCCACAGGGACACGGCCACCCCAGGGGCCAAATACAGACGGGGGGAGAGACAGCGGGACTTGTGTGTGTGTGTGTCTGTGGGGTGGGGGACACGGGGGGACACGGGGGGACACATGGGGTGAGATGGGCATGGGGACATGAGGGGACACAGGGGGACATGGGGAGGACACAGGTGGTGAGATGGGCATGGGGACATGAGGGGACATGGGGGGACACATGGGACGTGGTGGGGGACACAGGCATGGGGACATGGAGGGGACAGGCATAGGGACACAGGAATGTGCGTGGGGACACGGTGGGGACACAGGCCCCAGGGATGTGGGCACACTGACGTGGGGTCACGAGGGGGACACGTGTGGGGACACTGGCATGAAGGGATGTGTGTGTGTGGGGGGGGGTGGTTTTGTGCCGTGCCAGGCACCGAGGGACAAAGGACAGACACTGTGGTGGCACTGCCACCCTCGGAGGCTGGGGAGGGGGGGAGAAGGGGAGGGGCAGGGACGGGGAAACGGGGGGGGTCCCGGGGGTCCCCAGGGACCCGGACACGGGGTCCTGGTGTGGCCCCACATCTGCGGGGACCGGGGCACAGTGGGACAGGGGGACATGGGCACAGGTGGACTGCAGGGACATGGGGACAGGGGGGACAGGGGGGCTGCAAGGACAGGGGGACATGGGTAGGGGGCAGTGGGGGCTCCCGGGGAGCCCTGTCCGGGTTGCGGCCGGGGTGTCCCGGGTTGTGTCCCGGGTTGTGTCCCGGGTTGTGTCCCGGGTTGTGGCCGGCGTGTCCCGGGTTGTGGCCGGCGTGTCCCGGGTTGTGTCCCGGGTTGTGTCCCGGGTTGTGGCCGGCATGTCCGGCACTGCGGCCACTCGAGGGTGGCGGGGGGGCGGTCCCGGTCCCTCCCGGCGGGGGCGGCCGCTGTGGCCCGAGGCCGGACGGGTACAGGAACGGGCGCACCGGTACCGGCACCGGCACCGAGCCCGGCCCGCGGTACCGGGACCATGGTGAGTCCCGGCCGCCGCTTTCGCTTTCGCTTTGCTCGGGGCAGAGCGGGCTCGGGGCCGCGGGAGCCGCCGGGCTCGGGATCCCCCGGTGCCGGTGCCGGTGCCGGTGCCGGTGCCGGTGTCGGTGCCTGTCCCGGTCCCGGTCCCGGCCCGCCCCCGGGCTCCCCCTGCCGAAGGGAGGGACGCGGTCCCCGGGGCGGTGGGCGGGGGCCCGCGCGGGACTTTCCGTGTCCCCGTGTCCCTGAGTGTCCCCCGCAGCCCTGGTGTCCCCGCAGTGCCCGTGTCCCCCCCGGTCCCCATCCTCCGGTATCCCCGTGCTCCGTGTGCCCCCCGGTCCCCATCCTCCGGTATCCCCGTGCTCCGTGTGTCCCCCCCGCTCCCCATCCTCCGGTGGCCCCGTCCCCACGGTTTCCCGTCCCCCAGGTCCGTGCGTGTCCCCCTCGCGGTGCCATCGTCCCTGCGGTGTCCCCACGGTCAGGCTTTGTCCCCATGTCCCCCCCGGGCCCGTCCCCGTGGGTTGGTGTCCCCACGTTCCCCCAGTCCCCGTGTCCCCTGTCCCCTCCGTGTCCCCTTGGCCGCAGCGCCCACGTCCCCGGTGCTCCCCCCGTGTCCCCCCGTGTCCCCACGGTGTCCCCACGGTGTCCCCGTGTCCCCAGGCGGCGCTGGAGCGGTGCCAGCGCGAGGCCGAGGAGGTGGCGGAGCTGATGCGACAGAACGTGGCCAAGGCACTGGAGCGGGAGGGACACCTGGAGCAGCTGCAGAGCCGGGCCCAGGACCTGCGACAGGCGGTGGGACACGGGGGGGGACACACAGAGCTTGGGGACACTCTGGGGACACACAGGGGCTGGGGACACTGTGGGAGCACAGGGGACACTGTGGGGACACAAAGGGGTGGGACACTGTGGGGACACCCAGGGCTATGGGATACCCAGGGGCTTGGGGACACTGTAGGGACACTCAGAGCTTGGGGACATTCTGGGGACACCCAGGGCTGGGGGACACCAAGTGCTTGGGGACACTCTGGAGACACCCAGCCTGGGGAGGAGCGGCTCTGGGGCCACAGAAGGGCTGGGGGTGTCTGTCTGTCTGTCCCCACATGTCCCCCCAGCCCCTGAGCAGCCCGTGGCACTGTCCCTGTCCCCTGTGTCCCCCCAGAGCGAGGCCTTCACCCGCACCACGCGCACGGTGACGCGGCGCCAGCGCAGGAGACACCGGCGGTGGCACCTGGTGGCCCTCGGCCTCGGCCTCCTCCTCCTCTTCATCCTGGGGCTGGCCCTGGCGCTGGCCCTGGCACGGTCGTCCCCCGGGAGTGTCACCAGCACTGTCCCCACCCCGCAGGGGGGCACCGAGCACCCCCCCAGCACTGCAGGGACCCTGTGAGAACAGAGCCCGAGGGACCACAATGGACAATAAATAAATGGCAAATAAACGCCAGGGCTTGTGGGGACACCTGCAGTGGCAATGGGCAATATTGTCACCCTGCAATGACACTAACAAACCAGGGGCACGTCCTCGAGGGGACCCCACTACCAATGAAACTGCAGAATCTGCTCTGAAGAGACCCTACAACAAAAACCCAGCCAGCTCCACTCGAGGGAAACACCACAGCAAGCACAGGAGCTCTCTGGGGAGACCTGAGATCCCAAACCAGGAGGATGGACTTCAGGGAGACCCTGCAATAAATGAACACCAGGATCTGCTTTGGGATGACCCTACAATAAATAATCACCAGGATCTGCTTTGGGATGACCCTACAAAAGTTAAGAATCCAGAATCTGATACAGAGATACCCCACAATAACAAACCAGGAGAACAGAACCTTGAGGAAACCCTGCAATAAATAAACACCAGGATCTGTTTTGAGGAGACCCTACAACAAATAAACACCAAGAGCTCTTTGGGGAGACCCCACAAAAACAGAGCAGTGGGGTGAGCTCCAGGGTGACCCCACAACAACAAAAGGCCCTGAAATAACAAATGAACCCCAGAACCCACCCTGGGGACACCCCACAACCCACAGAACCCACCCTGGGCACACCCTGGGCACACCTGGCCTTGGCCCCAGGTGCCACCAACCTGGGCTGGGACAGGAGGGGACGCAGAGAGGACCCTGGGGACACAATGGCACCTGAGGAGGGGACTCTGGGCACTCCAGGGAGGGGACATGGTGGCACCTGGGAGGGACCTGGCAGCCAGTGTCACTGCAGGGGCCACCCCACCTGGGCTGCTGAAGGGGACAGGTGGCACTGTGACACCTGGGGACCCTCAGGTGTCACTCCTCCTCCCTCCCCACACCCCGTGCCTCAGTTTCCCCAAGCAGTGAAGGACATGGAGCCTCGCAGCACCTTTATTGACACCGGGGGGGGACAGCAGGGTCCCGGGGGTGGCAGTGCCCGGGGGTGGCAGTGCCGGGCTGTGCCAGCAGCGTCACCCCGTGCCCCGGCGCTTGCTGAGCTCGTCCTGCACGCGCTGGCACAGGGCCCTGCGCAGGGGGGGCTCCAGGGGGCTGTGGGCACACACCCGCCGGGTCACCTCCTCGGCGCTGTCCCCCTGCGAGTGGCGCCGTGTCACCCGTGCCACCAGGTAAAGGAGCCTGCCGTGGCCCCACACCCGGGGGAGCCCATGGGGTGACCCCATTGCCCCCGGGGAACCTCCGTGGCACCCCCACTGCCCCATGGACCCCCACCTAGGGCACCCCCACTGTCCCATGGACCCCTATGGCACCCCCACTGCCCCATGGACCCCCACCTAGGGCATCCCCACTGCCCCATGGACCCCCACCTAGGGCATCCCCACTGTCCCTGGGGAATCCTCACTGTCCCACAAAGCCACCCACATCACCCCCACTGCCCCACAGAACCCACCCACGGCACCCCCACCGTCCCTAGGGACCCCCCAGGACACCCCCACTCCCCTGGCCACCCCCACGGTCCCCGGGGACCCCCCGATCCCCCCAGTGCTCCATGGACCCCCCCCCCCCCCCAGGGCACCCCCATGGACCCCCCAGGACCCCCCCCCACCCACGATGTCCCCTGTCCCATGGGACCCCCCCCCCCCCCCCCCGCCAGCAGCACCCACGGCAGCTGAGACCTGCGGCCCCCAGCCCCATGGGCACCCCCATCCCGGGCACCCCCATCCCGTTGCCCGTTCCCCGTTCCCGGTGCCGCACCTGGTGCACGATCACGGCCGTCACCCGCCCGTCGTCCCCCTCGTACTCGAGGCAGAAGAGCCGCGGCCCCCGCGCCGGTTCCGGGGGGGCCCCGCTGCCCTCGGGGGGGGGCCCCGCGCTGGCATCGCCCCCGGGCCCGCCTGCGGCACCGGCACCGCCTCAGCGGGGGCACCGGGGCGGCGCCCCCAATTCCCCGGTGTCCCCATCCCCAATCCCGGGGGTCCCCAATTCCCCGGTATCCCCATCCCCACCCCCGGTTCCCCCGCTCACCGCCCCGGTGCGGCCGGTACACCTGTTGGTCCCCCCGGTTCCCCCGGATTCCCCCGTTCCCCCCGGTATCCCCGCTCACCGCCCCGGTGCGGCCGGTACACCTGCTGGTCGGGCCGCCGGGGCCGCGCCGGGCCCGGTGTCAGCCTCGTCCGCGCTCGGCCCCGCGCCTGCCGCACCGCGCGGTCGTACGCGTCCCTGTTACCGGCGGGACAGCGGGGTTAGCGGGTGAAGGGGACCGGGAGCACCGGGGATGAGGGTCCCGGGAGGGCCGGGCCGGTGCCGGTACCTGGCGAGCTGGTTGCGGCGGATGTGCCGCACGAAGCCGTGGCTCATGTCCAGCCGTCCCCCCGGCCGGCAGCGCCAGCCCGGGGCCGCCGCTGTGGCCGGCGCGGCCTCCATCCCGGTACCGGCGGCGGGGTCGGTACCGGGGCGCGGCGCCTTTAAGAGCCCCGCGGGCCCGGCGGCAGCCGCCAGGGGGCGCCGCAGCGCGCAGGCGCAGTAGCGCCTCTTCCCGGAGCGACGGCCGCGCATGCTCGGCGCACTTCAGACGGTTTTACCCCGCGCCGCGCATGCGCATAGCGCACAGCGCCGCCGCCATGTCGAGCCGCGGG